CAGAGCAACCATTTTAAAATCTGTGTTGATATGCTTATAGTACACAAAAACTCTAACCTATAGGTTAATAATAACACTAAGGATGGGGGAACAGAGGGAGCAATATTGTGGTACAGTGTTTTTATATATCATGTACCACGTAACAACATATCAGTCAACCACGGACCACATATATGATGATCACCTGGTAAGACTGTATTGCCCATGGACATGCAGATGTCTTAGTTTGTATAACCATACTCTGGGATGTTCACCTAATGACAAAATCACCTAACTACTGTCTTCTCACCATGAATCCTTGGCATTAAGTGACAAATGTTTGGATGATGAAATTAGCTTAGCTGTAATCCAGACCAGAACACTTAAGGTGCTAATTGAAATCACCAGGAAGACCACTAAAAATAGTTCAAAAATATAGAAAAAGATACAGTAAGAAAATTAAAATGATATAATAAAGTCAATTTAATGTAAAATATAGCAGTACAGAAAGTAGAAAGAGAAAAACATGAAAGACATATAATACAAAACTACAAATTCATTTTCACAAATCTAGTTGATATTGTATTGGAGGTGGTTTTTTTTTTTTTTTTTTTTTTTTTGAGACGGGGTCTTGTTATGCAGTTCAGGCTGGACTGGAACTCACTTTGTAGCCCAGGCTGGCCTCGAATTCGCAAAGATCCTCCTGCCTCAGCCTCCCAAGTGCTGGGATTACAGGTGTGCACCACTATGCTGGGCTGGAGGTGTAATCTATAGAAATTAAGCAGAAAAAGAAATAACAGACGTTCAGTTTAGAAAGGAAAAAGTAAAACTTTATCTTCAAATATTAATTCCGTTATTCTTTCACTTTCGGAAACAGTTCTCAAAGTCCTCTTTTATAAGTGTCTTTAGCACTATCGTGACTGCCTCAATATCCTACATTAATGCAACATGTTTACTCTTCATGATTATTTGACTTTAGGGAAGAGACAGACATCACATGGTGCCAGATCCAGTGAATAGAGTAGATGACTACATACCACACGGTTTTTGAGAAAGTTACTTCTCATTAGACGACCCTTGGCATTCACAGCATTCACTGTATTTTTGATCATACTTCACAAAGACACTCACAGGGTACTTCCAGAATTGCTTCAGAAAATGTTGAATTTTTTTTTTTAGGTACCGGGAATCAAACTCAGGACCTTGTGCTTGCGAGGCAGGCACTTGTGCTGCTGAGCTATATCCCCAGCCCCTAGAAAATGTTGAGAGCAATGGGATAATTGTGATCAAAGTCGGAGGGGATTAATGGCAATGTGTGTTTTACTCTAATGATATTTTAATAATTTAAATCTTTATCATGCTTTCTGATTACAACTTGTATAACATTATGTGCAGAAAATTCTAAATATCCACAAAATAACCTATTAGAACTATGACTAATTTCATGAAAGGTATATGAATCAATGTAAGATAAGTTATTATATTTCCTTGAATTATAAAAACATATGGAAATAAAATTAAGAAAAATTACATCCACAATAATATTAAAATATAAAAGTATAAATAAACTTATCTATACTTAACTAAAGAAATAAAACATTCATACATTAAAAATGAGAAAACATGGCTGAAAGAAACTAAAGAACAAAACAAATGGGAAAATATACTAACCACACTTATGGATTGAGAAATTAAAAGTATTGGAATAACTGTACTACTGAAATTATGTATAGATTCAACACATCTCTACCAAAGTTTCTCTTTTTTTTATTTAGCTAAAAAGTCATTTGGAAATGCAAAAGATCCAGAACAGCCAAGACACTACTGAAAGGAATAAGTTGGAGAATTCTTGGTTTTGAACCAAGAATGTTACTCTTACAAAGCTACAGTAGTAAATATCTTGTGATAGTGGCATATGTATAGATATAAATTAATGGAACATCACTGAGAATACAGAAGTACACATTTGCAGGTATAGTCAGTTAATTTGTGTCAAGGATTCCAACACAATAGAATGGACAAAACAATAATCTTTGAATAAAGAAGGCTGAGTTAAGCATGTAGACACATAGAGCACCTATGTTAGATCATATGCAGACACTAACTGAAAATGAACCATAGATCTAAATTAAAGGGTTAAAACTGCAATATTCATAGAATAAAAAAATAACTTAGTCATCTTCCAATTGCTGTAACAGTAAAAAAATGTTTATGACCTTCTAGTTGGTAGTGGTTTCACTGATGTACTACTGAAGTATAAATAACAAAGCAACATGTAGATGCATTGGATTTGATCAAAACTAAGAATTTTTGGCAAGCGCAA